GGTAAAAATGGGAGTTCATAATCCACTTGAATCAAACTGTGAAATATGATATATTAAGAACTGTGTAATGTTTTGAACTACCAACAATAAAAATTAAAAAAAAAAATAGGCCCGAGGATGTGACCAAATGGTCAAGTGTCCCTGAGTTCAATCCCTGGTACTCTGCCCCGCCCCCCCCAATTTGTTTTTAGACCAATGATAAGAATCCTATTTCAACCATTTCTTAGGGGTTGGCTTTTTTTTTAAAAAAAAAAAAAATTGGGTATGCTTTTTCTATATTTATATAAATAAGGGGTTTTTGATAATTAAGTCTAGGAATTCATGAAAAGGTGATTATAAATTGGGAAAGGTTTCAAAGCTCAGATATTCTCACCAAATATACAGTGTGCATAATTTACAGTTCATCCCTGTAGTCAAGCAGGGCCRGTTACTTCTGTCTGTTCATAAATTTCCTATTGAGTATGAACAGAAAAATGCCTGTATTTCAAGTCCAAGGCTGCAGCTATGCCCATACAGCCCTGATAAAGCAACGAACAACCAACCAAAATTTGCAGATTTGTCATTGCCTCTTTTTCAGTTAAATTTAAACTTTCTAATGAGAAACAGTTTCTCTCCAGAGCTCTTTCTGAAGCAGTGAAAAAAAAAAAATGCATCTATTAGAATGTTTTCTGGCCAAAAGACGTCTGCTCCGGAAACATTTAGTTTGGAGGTAGAAACATTAATGTGGTGTGTTGATGTTTAAAATATTTCTTTACATTTATTTGAAAGTTATATGTTTGTAGGTGATAAAAATTAAAACATTAAAGGCTATATAGGAATAAGTATTCTAGGACATAACTACTATTAGTGATAGTTCTTTTTATATTGTTTCAAATGTATTTTCTCATCTGGTGTCTTTTGAAGGGATATGGAGTTGCTAGGGGTGGAACCCAGGGCCTCATGTGCTAAGCAAGAGCTCTACTACTGAGCTATACCCCCTAGACCTATGATGTTATGTTTTTAAAATAATTTTTTAGTTATCGATGGACACAGTACCTTTATTTTGTTTGTGTTGCTGAGGATCAAACCCAGTGCCTCACACATGCAAGGCAAGTGTTCTACCGCCAAGCCACAACTCTAGCCCCCATGATGTTATTTTTGATCAATGCATATTAAGTAAGATCCAATCCAAGAAGTGGCTGTAACCACTCTGCCTCTGCAGAATGAGGTCCAAGAAATGGAATCAGGTTGTTAGCTGATCCCACAGGTATCAAATACCAGAAATCATCAAATCCAACTAGGACCAACTGTGGAATTTGTGAGGAACAAAGGAAAGCCTCTGTTAAAAATGAGAATTTCTTGGCCAGGTACAGTGGCACACACCTGTAATCCCAGTGGCTTGGGAGGCTGAGACAGGAGGATTGTGATTTCAAAGCCAGCTTTAGCAAAAGCAAGGAGCTGGGCAGGGATTGTGGCTCAGTGGTAGAGTGCTCGCTCTGGCTTCTATCTTCAGCAGCACATTAAAAAAAAAAATAAAATGAAAGGTATTATGTCCATCTATAACTAAAAAAAAAAAGTGCTAAGCAACTCAGTGAGACCCTGTCTCTGAATAAATACAAAATAGGGCTGAGGATGTGGTTCAGTGGTTTAGTGCCCCTGAATTCCCTGGTACCCTCTGCCCCACAAAAAAATGAGAATTTCACAGTCAGGCATGGTGGCATATTCCTATAATCCTAGCAGCTTGGGAGGCTGAGGCAGCAGGATCACAAATTCAGAACTAACCTCAGCAATTTAGTGAAGATCCTGACTCAAAAAGGGCTGGGGAAGTGGCTCAGTGGTTAAGCACTCCAGGTTCAATCTCTGGTACCAAAAAAAAAAAAAAAAAGTTCTCATATATATGGCATGCACACACACACAAACCCACACAAAATAATTTCAAAATGGCAACAGTCTTAAGCCAAGTATTGGCGCCCTCAAGAGCACAGAGCTCCAAATGGCTGGCACCCACAAACTATCTATGTTCTCAGCTGGCTCCATGTTCATCTTGGCCTGGAAGCAAATCTCAAATCCAAAGCTAACAGAGTTGGTCTGTGGTTTCCTGCTGTCGACAGATCTGTTGGCCGGAGCCTATCTTCAGGAGGGAATAGTGGGTTGAATAGAAAGTGGAAATATCAAAAGTGACCTCAGAATGCAGAACTTTCTGGGTGGACAGCTAACCAGCATTTTTTTAAAAATTGTAGATGGACACAATATCTTTTATTAGTATTTTTTAATGTGGTGCCTGGGATCAAACCCCAGTGCCTCATGCATGCTAGGCAAGTGCTCTGCCACTGAGCCACAAACCCAGCCCCTAACTAGCTTTTTTTTCTGGTGGAACATTTGGTGGGAGAAGAGAGTAATTATATAATTGTATAATTATGGATGGGTTAATGGAGGAGTATAGGAATTTATCATCTGGTTAAAGGGGAAAAGGGCTTGGTTGAAGCTTATTAGCCAGTAGGCATTTGGGTCTATACCAGAGACCTTCAGAATATGTCCTCAAAGGAGRAGAAAAAGGTTTTCTGACCCAAAGGGCATGGTGGGAACTCTACCCAATAGGTTTGGTGTTGAGAGTTTCTGGTCCTGAGATAGATGACAATAGCTAATATTTGCAAATTTTCTTTTCCCATATGAACACAAACCTAAGAGGTGGGCAACAGCATTTAATTCCACTGATAAAGAACCTGGGCATAAGGAGGTTAAGACACTTGCTCAAGCTTGTGAGCCAGTGGCTCGAAGAGTTGGGATTCTGACCTACTTGATGTGTCATCTAATCCTGGAGCTGCCTTCTCAAGTTTTAAAAAGTACTAAATAGTTTCTYTGAACATTCTTTTTCAGTTTGTTGAACATCTAATATCATTTATCTAGTACCCAATGTGAGCCAGAAAATGTTAAATATTTTCACACATACCATCTGAAATGCTTGTAAAC